CATTTCAAATCAATCTCTGACGCTATTTTCTCAGTCGAATTGTGTCTTTGATTGAACAAAAGAATCTTTTATTTTTCGTGTAGACGCGATCGGAGTTCTCTCTAATATTTTTTGCAATTAATGTTATTTTTTTACTAGTTTTTATTACTAGTTGATAACTAGTTTTTTATTACTAGTTTAGTTAGTGTCCCTGTCTAGCAAGTATATCTACAAAATAAAAAGTAATACCTATTTTGTGAACACCACTGCGTTGAATGCAAACGGAAATCCGCTTGTCACTTACTTTTTACTAGTATACAAATTTGCCTAACCGACAAAAAATGCTTAATGTTTCAGGAGGTGTATCTCCTCCGGTTTTCAGAAGCAAAATAGCACAAAGAAAAAAAAATCTATGTACAACTATTCAAGAACAGCTTTTAGCAGATACGTCTATGATGTATCTAAAACCGTTGACGTTCTGTTAAAATGGCATAACATTAAGTCAATTACTATCTGATCAAAATTATTTAATGTGGCAAAACCAAAAAGCTTTCAACGGTTTATAATAGATATATCTGCTAAAAACTGTGTTCCTGAATAGTTGTATTTAAAATTTAATTTGCCCTTCACATAAAACGTCTTGTAGTGTGATCTAGCAATCCCCACAATGTCGTAACGGTAACACAGCAAAGGCTCTCATGCTGTAGGAGACAAAATAAAAGGCGTATCTAACAAAAGTTAATTTTTATATTACAGTAAAAATGTTTCCTTCGCTCTAATGCAAAATTTTCAAAACGATAATGACAGTTTGTGTAGAAGGCGACGATATAAATAAGAATAAAGGTTTAAAATAAATTATTTATTCGATAAATTCCAACTAAGGAAAAATGTATTTTCTTTCTTTCTCTCTTGCAGGGTACCACTCGGTACTACTTAATGCGGCTAGTATAGGTGGCAGCACAGCAAGGGAACAATAGCGACGTAAAACTCTCCTAGTCATGCCGAGTCATCGAAGCCTATCATTAAATATCCTGTCCAGTACTCCACCAGTAATATTAGGTACAAGTACTTTGTTTCGAACGATATTTTCCGTGGATGTGTAATAATTATGTGGTAGCAAATAAATATATATGGGTCCTTTTTATGCTTTGATTATTCTAATAAAATTTGATAATAAAATAAGAAATAAATCTAAAATAGAAAATAATTACAAAATTATTTAAAGAATGCATATTTTTTGGCTAGTTTAAGTGGTTAAGTAGTTAAGATATACTCCTTGAGATGTATTCATGAATTCTTTACATGATGTATTTATGAATTCTTTACAGAAAAAATTGTACAACGAAAATCGAAATGTTGTGTCCTAAACCAAATTTTAGATATTTTATTTCATAATCTAAATATTGAAAATCTTTAGGTTATTCAAACTTAAGCTAAAAAAGTATGTATCTCAAAGAGGTAATGCTTTGTAGATATCCTATAACAAGTAAAACATCAATCTAATAATAAAAGAACAAAATGTTCTAATTCTCAGTTTTAAATTTTACGAAAAAAAAAATTGTACCTATCGGTTTCACATGATTGTTTCAAAATTTATTTAATATCTGTCAAGAGAAATAATTATAGTGGGGTACCGCAAATTACTACTAAGTATCAATTATTATTATGCCAATGTATTCAAAATTCCTTCAGGCGTGGAATTTATATTTCCATAAAAATGTTACAAAGTTATACCTTTTATCATTGGACAAGCTGAGTTTCTTAGATAATTGTTAACGACGTTAAAATTTTGTAATAGGTCACATACCTATTACAAAAAAAAGAAGAACTAGAGAATATTAAACATTTGAAAAAAAAAATATTTGTTTCTGTATCAGTAATTCATAATAACATAATTAATAAAAAAAATCATATACTTCAGTTTTCGGTTTTGACGTTTTTGACGTTTCATACTTCGATTTTGACGTTCTGTTAAAAATCAATTTTTAAGAAAAAACGTTAAGAGTTCATTATACTGTGTGGTGCATCGGAACACGGAACATAGGAAAAATTTCATGTAAATTTTGAAAAGGTCCAATATTATCTACCAAGATGATTTTATGGAAGAGTTGTATTATACTTTTTTGAAGAGGCGTTAAAGTTGTTTTGTCTGGATTTTCGTTTTATTTGGAATAGGCGTTTAAATGTTACTTGCAAAAATCTAAGTTCAAATTACTAAAAATTTAATACCTTCGATGATTTTGTGATTATTAGGAATACCATGGATGATTTTATCATTGTCAAATTCGATGTCAAATATTGTTTACAGGTATGTGTAGTTTGGAAAGGGTGGTTAAATCTTTCTCTATTGGAATGATCATCTACAAAAAAATTAGTTGAACTGACAATAGTATTCATGGTGTATGACTTGTTTGCTGCTCATTACTCAGTCACTCGAGAGCCTCGCCATATCTCCATATACATCCACTATAATTTAAGAAATAATCGAAATATAATAATAAGACCTATATTAATTAATAAAATGTTTACATAATACCCCATTCACATTCAAACAATATATCAAAAGGGATTGTCAAATTCACCCCTCACAATACAAAGCTCTTAAGGGTAGCATTTTTAGCACTCCACTGAGATGTCGTTTTCAGTTCATCTAAATTTCTGTATCGAATATTCCCATAAAGAGATCGTCTTTATGAGCGCGCTTCACAGGGAGAAGTCGTTCGGCGAAAGTTCCTGTGGCCCTTTCCTATACTGAATCCCCAATAGATGGAGGTAAATATTTTTCTTTTCTTCAACATGAACAAGAATATTGAAGTCATTGTTGTTTTCTTTCTGTTTATTATTTTTCTTTTCACACTTCCATGTGCTTAATACCGTGCTTTTAGTTTCAAACATCTTGTTTATTCTTTAAACTGTTGACTTATTTGGTATAGGGCTGTCCAGAGACTGAGCTGCGAACATATCTAGCAGCGGGGATACTATTTCCAGCAAAATGCCGTTTAACCATTGTAACTTTTTCAGAAGTCTTGAAAATCATAATTATTACAAAATTACTTTATTTGGTACCTTCAAATTCTTGTAAACAAAATGTGACATCGAATTGGACAATACACATTTTTGCTGGTATTTTAATTGTAGCTCTGAGCCGTATCATAAATTTTACTGATTTGAAGATAGATTATTCCAAATAACTTTTATATGCCGATTCCAATTAAAACGAAATTCTAGACTACAACTTTGTTCAACTTTTTCTTGTACAACTTTAATGCCTCTTCAAAAAAGTCTCATACAACTTCTGCATAAAATTATCTGGGGAGATAATATTTGACATTTTCAAAATTTACATGGAATTTCCTATGTCCCGTGTTCCGATGCACCACACCGTATACGCATCTGCTAAAAAACTAAAGAGTTTTTGAATAGTAATATTTAGATATTTTAAATAGCTTTTCTTTTATTTGTCTTTTGTTTTTTTTTCGAGCTTTTTTTGCTTCTGACAACGGAAGTACATGGACCTCCTGAAACGTTAAGCATTTTACGTACGTCTGTAGGAAAATTTGTTTTATTAGTAAAATAGTAAAATACCAATGACAAATTGGTCTCCGTTGGATCAATGTAGTGTATATCTTTAAATAAATAGAAACACAAGTATCCACTTCAAGTACATTTTATCCAAATGTTAAAATGCATCACAAGAAATAACTAGTCAACTAAAACACTAATTCACTGCAATACACCATAACATTTTAACTTTTAACACTAGACGAGCGTTTCGCTAATCACATTAGCATTATCAGCAGATGGTTAAAAACTTGATTAAAAGTTTTAATCATTTGCGGAAGATGCTAACATAGTTAGCAAAAAGGGCGTCAAGAGTTAAAAATAAAGTGCTAAGAACCTCGAAATTAGTGGAATAAATTAGTGATTTTAATTATACTTTATACTTAAATGTTTGCAATTATTTACAATATTTAAAAAGACACAATTAAAATTAATAGAATATCCTAGTAACAGTTTGCGTTAGTCAGTTGTATCCATAGAGAAAGCCAAATATTTAACTTATAAAACAATCAACTTTTGATTTCTAACCACAATAACTTCTCTTGACGGAGGATAATCAAAGACCAAAATGACATTTCTCGCAAATTTTGAAGTATGATTAGTGGAAAAGTAAAAATTTGTTAACTTTTTCTACTAATTGAAAATGTCTACCACTAATTTTGACGTTCTGAATGCTTACATTGAAATTAAAGGAACAAAGTTCTACGCTAATTGAAACCACTAATTTATTTCATAATTGCGAGGTTGTGAATGAAGCTTTACATTGAAATTAGAGGAACAAACTTTTATTCTAATTAAAACCACTAATTTATTCCATTAATTGCGAGGTTTTCAATGAAGCAAACTTAATATGGTTTACTGCTCCAAATTAGTGCTTTGCAGTTGTAACACCAAAGGTTCTAACCCCAACTGTATTCAGGTAATAATTATTAACTGCAGAATTTTAAATTTATAGTAAAAATGAATAGTAAATTAGATAAATTAAGGCAATTTTTCCCTTTGCGCGATTATAGTATGTCCATCAACGCAGGATTCGTAACAACGATAGTTGTGTCCGTCATTTTAATTCACAGGCAAATTATATTTTCGGCCATGTTTTGAAAGTCCTCTGTGAAAATCTTCCTTAATTTGTTTATCGAAAGTTGTTATGAATATTCGTATAAACAGCACTTACTTTTTTACATTTCTTTTCCCGCCCATTTTTCACCACGTACGTTACATCTTTCCACGACCGATCTTCTTCCTTCTCCTGGAGGGGTTAAAAACACATACACACATCAAATTGGTAAGAGCCCCCACTCGGGGCCGTAACAGGTGCACACCACGAGCGGGCAGCGCTTAGGTTCCTCAACCAGAACAGCGCCCGGCGCACTCACTCACCGGCACAGTCGCTCCCAGACAACCGAGCGATACTATTCTGTGGTAACACCAACCACGACCGGTACGATCTTCTGCTGTTGTCCCGTGCGAAGTCGGAAACGCGCGCGAAAATCTCGAATTTAAAACGAAAATTCAAAGGGTTAGCGCTTTGACCGACTGTTGATGTCTCCGGAGGTTTGTGGCTTGATCGACTGTTAAATGTGCGCGTGAACTATGAGACTGATTAACTTAATTGTTAAATTAATTTGAGAACGAACTCAAATATAGTTTTGTGTGCAGAGATAATGATAGTTAAATAAATAAAAAGCTACAGACAATAATATATTATTTGAACGATATATGTATATTTTGTGAGTCAGTAACAGTTTAGTGTTATAAGTTGATATTTTTATTTGGACTTGTTTTGTGAATTGGGTGTCGGTAAACATTGTGATTTTTACTGGATATAGTGATTTCTGAGATCTGCGTGATAAAGTTTTTGTGTTTTTTCATCGGTGTATTTTAAAGGTAAGTTCCTTTAAAAAAATATCTTTTAGAAAAAGAATCATAAATATTATAAATTAAGTATGCAAACTAATACAAACTAAATAAATATTTTAAAGTATTATTTATATATATGGTCATAAAGTACATGGTGTGCTATATAATTATACCAAAAAATTATTGCTTGTTTTTATACACATTTAATCAAAGTGATCCGTATTTATGGGAAGAAATATTCTTTATTATATATTTTATGGTTAAATGCTCTATGTCATTGTATTTAAGAAGTCATAAGCATATATATAGGGAAACAAAAAATCTAGGTCCTTATTTAAAAAATAAAGATGATAATATGTGCTCTAAAAACGACAAATTAAGAATTTAATAACATAATAACTCGTAGAGCAGGAAAATTGACAATAGGAGTATAAAATTTGTATTCTAATATATTATTTTCAAATAAATTCAGAAAAAAAAAAGAAATAAAAACAAAATGGGAAAAATTCAGTTTTTACTAAATGTTTTTGGATTTTTTTGAATAAACCATATTTGTATACCTTCTATAGTGTGTATTCTTATAAGACACCATATAGATATTATACCAGAGATAAATAAAAAAATGGCCAAAATTTGTCAAGTTTAAGATTATTTCATTTTTTACGTCTCAATCTGATATCCTATAAAAAAGGAAGAAAATAATTATACCACCGGAAAGAAAACACAATTAAAACAAATTAGGATGGGTATTTCAGAAGAAAATAATATCAAAATGGAATAGTCAATGAAGGATTTTTTTGAAAACTTACCTTTATTATTGTTTCAAAATTATTAATTCTATGGTACTAAGGCAGAACCCGATATGTCAGTAGGGAAATAATGTTAACACATCGGATTTTGCTCTAGTACCACAGAATTGACTTTAATAAAATAATATGACTAATTATACCACAACCAAACAAATATTTGACCGAGAGTAACAAATATGTTTGCCCCTATATGAAGAAAAGTCTAGTATTAATATTAAAAATTGCCCTATATAAATCATCTACTTGACTACAACATGTATACTTATAGACAATTTACCATACAAAGTATGTTTTTAAGTAAAGTTGTTGAAAATTTTACCATTTTTATCACTTATTAAGTATGGCTTTCATTATTTATTTGTTTAAAATCTAAATTTTTCAGATATAATGAGAAGAAGATATTTTTTAAACTAATTTTATTCTAATAAATTTATACTTAAATCTTGCTGAAGTATTTTTAAAAAAACACTACAAATATATATTTCTTGTATAATGCCACCTAATAAAATATAAAAAAAAAATTATCACAAGATTTAATTAATTTACTCATCAGAAGATGTAATATATTTTTAAGTTTAAACAATAGTAAAATATAATTTTACCTTTACAACTATTATAACTTTTATATTAATTTCAAATCTATATAGTAATAGAATTATTATAATGCGAAGAATATTTAATTAATAATTACATTATTAAAATACGATTACCTAATTAATTTATCTGATAGGCACTTGGTACTTTTATAGGTTTTTATGATACTTGGATAGGCACCACGTCTTTTACTATCATTGTTGTTTCTAAAAAATTATACATGTTTATCTGTTTTTTTAGAAGCATATTGTAATGCGGGTACTTTAATATACAAGCAGATAAAATTATTGAACTTGACAGATAGCTACTTTTCATTGTCAACTGTATGTTTTATTTCTTTTTTTTGGAATATATTTTAATTAACGCCGGAATAAAACCTAATTTCATTCTTTGTATTACTTATTACAAGAGAAAAAATTTAAAATGCTTTAAACGGTAAAATATAATAACTTCCTTTATATATAAGAACAATAATTTATCAGCTATTTATTTCAATGTTACCGTTTTGTTCATCTTTAACTACTGAAACGAAATAAAAACAATATTTTAAATATTCTAAGAAGACTAAACACTTTTTAGCATTTCTAAAGAAGTCTGAATTCAGTATTGAAAAGATTGTTTTTTTAAGCGAACAATAGTTTTCTGTTTTATTCAAGAAAAATACAGGGTGAGTCTTAGATAACTGGACTTATTTTCAGCGGTGGTATCCTATTCCCGAAGAAAATTTGTTGAAAATTTTCTATTTTAATATTTTTTTTGGATTTTTTTTTTAATTTTCATTTAAAAAACATAATATTTTGATATTATTGAATCATAGGTAACAGAGTAAATTTCAAGGAACAAAAATCCCGGAAAATCTAGTAGTTCTGAAAATTTAAGCAAAATATATTATTTTTAACATTCAAAGTAAAATATCTCTATTAATATTGCTATTTTGAACTTATTTGAAAAACGATAAAAAGAAAATATCCTTCTTACACTTATTTAAGGCTCACCCGGTATATGAAGAATACAATAATTATTGTGTTAATATTTGCTTATTACATTAAATAAAATGCATATTTGAGAGGCTGTACAAGGCAAATATACTCAAGGTGGTTTGCCATTGCCTTCCTTGAGGTGGCGGCTCGTTGGTCGCTCTATTTAGATAAATAAATATTTTTATTTAAATAAATAAAGCGACCGTACTGGCTGGGGATCGAACCCAGTACCTTCCGCTCCGCAGATCGACACACTAACGCTGGAGCTACGGCCGGCCACAAATCTCAATCAATAAAAAAAACTGATTACAACTAACAAAAACCGAAGAAATTTTAAACGAAACCGCCTAAATACTTTCACATATTTAAAGTTATTTTATTTTACGTACAGGAGACGTATTATAATATCACGGTATAACTTTCAAGCTTGGTTTTTTGCCCTCGCTCCGACATGAATGTTGTGTTTTAGTATAATAGTTAATACTAATAACAGCAACAGTACTTTTATTAGAAAATAATCGACAAGAACAAACAATTATTAAGCAAAAAAGACAGAAAGCTCAATGAGATTTATATATTAAAAAAATTATATATTATAAATCTTTATATAATGAGTTTTCAGTATGGTTGAGTGCAGCGCAGATATATAATATTAAATGATAAACTTTATTCTACAGATCGACGGTAGTCAAGATATACAAACCAGATGTAAACAGAAAAATGCTCCTGGTTGCTGCATATTTATAGAAAAAAAGCTTAGACCTTATATGATTATTATAGTATACGAGTATCATCAAAATACAAAGAAATTATATTAGATTTTTTCGTAACTCTTTATTTAAAGATTTATAGATTTTCATAAAGTCAGTTTTGGCTTTTCAAGTTTTCAACATCTCATTTATTTATTTACAAGTGAAAGTTTTGGGGGCTTTTGTTATGTTTATATTTTCCTTCAAGTTCATACTGTGTGTATTTTGCAAGAGAATTAAAGTGACTGTGACTGTGACTGACTGATATAGAGCTGACAAAATTCCAAATATAATAATACATGTATAGATTAGCAAGAAGATATGAACAATATTTAGCAAAAAACTTATTTGCTAAAGCATAATGTTTTTTTGCTTTGAGCATAAAAGCCGACATAAAAGCTTTTGCTTAAATAAAGTTTTTTCAATATCTAAAAGAAAATTTACTAAACCAAATTGCGTTGTATATGTTACGGACAAAGATGTACAGCCGGTCTTTAACAGTAATGACCGGTCTATATTGTATATGCCTACTTAAGTTGGACATTGTTCATACTGATCGGCCATTAACGTAAAATTCCAAAGGATTTGATGGATAATTTTGATAAACTGCAGGAAAAACTATCGATTTAACAACCTTGCCCCTCGACTTGATTTTAAGTCATTTTTCGAAAGTTGACTTAAGACTTAAAATTTAAGTCTTTTTGAAAATTATTTGCTATTTAAATCTTTATTCCGAAATAGAAACATCTGAACTGAAAAGTCTTATTTTTATATATTTTTATGATACATTTTTAACAGCAGCATTTCTTTTTAAACTGTTAGGCGGCAGTCAAGCAGCAGGATAAACAAAATAATGCTCAATACCACTAGTTGTCTATAACCACTAGTAAATGAAATGTTGGTTTTTTGGAACCGGTTTTGATTATTTGCCGTGTTACGCGTGCGTAGTGAGTCTGTTGTCTTTCAAGTGAATCCCCGACTCCGTTATGTAGCCCGAAAGATGGACGAAAGAAATATATCTCGAATATATTGAAGAGTACCTTAAAATCCTCTCCAGCCCTTAGATTATGCCATAGATTTATTACATAGTGATCAAAACACATCACCACTTTTTAATAGACATGTATTCGATGATATCTATATGTAATGGATACGTACAAAGTACTACAAAATCGATTAAATTTTATAAAAAAACACATATTTTTGTGTTTGTAGTTGTTCTGAAAATTAACTGTTTACTTATTAAGAACATCACTAATTGGTAATACAAGAAAATTAATATTAACTTGAAAAAAGCTACTTAAATTGAATTCTGGTTGTCTTGACTTGAAGGTAATTCTATTGAATTAAGTTATTTTCTTGACTTAACTTTCAAATCATAATGATTTAGGTCAAAAATATATAGACTTAAGTCATAAAAACGACTTAAATAACATTATATTGATTTAAATCTTTACAAAAATGACTTGACTTGAAATAAAATGACTTAAGTCAAAAACTTGAAACATAAATCATTTGAACTTTATGTTAAATTTGACTTAAGATTTAAATCATTTTGATTTTAGAAATGACTTAAGATTTAAGTATTTTTAAAACTGACTTGTTACAGCTCTGGCTGTTATATTGTTGTTAATACTGCGCACAGTAGAACGCAATGGAGGAGAATTGTAAACTCAGTTAACAACGACAACCAAAAAGTAAAGAGGCAACAAAGTAATGAGATTTTTGAATGTCCGGAGTGCGGAAGAGAGATAACATCACGGATCGGGCTTTTCAGTCACAGAAAAGCTCATGAAAGAAAACGCCCTGCGTAACCATCTTCTGATGAGTGTCAAATACTCGTCATTGAGTAATGGCAGTAAGTAAGTAATACTGCCCATAGCTATTATATTTCA